CAAGTTCAAGCTCGTAAATGAATGCACGGTAAACAAACAAATAAGTGGAGGGAAGCCCGTGTTATTGCGACACATAATCAGCCAAGTAGAGATAGTTTTTAATCACGGGTCACTGACTACAACCACACTTATTACCGAAGGTGCTAGCTAGCGCAGGCCCTGCGTAATGCAAATAGGTAAAAGTGACAAGGGCAGCAGTAGTTATCAGCAACCTAGAGGAATATATCAAAGTCCAACTTGCCTAAAACGTTAACATTTGGCTCTTTTATCGACAAAGTTGACGCGTTTGCGTTGGAATGCTCAATTATGCATGCATGCCAAAAATATTTGTTCGGCGGCACTGCTTTCGAAGCGACGAATCACAATCTAAATGCGTCTACCAATCATCTTGCAATAACTTAACATAGCTCTAAAAAACAACCGAATCGGAGTGTATTCCCTAACCATCTCTGCATTCTGCCCGAAGTCCGGCTGTTCATGTTCTGCTATCATTGATTAAAATTTACTTCCCAAGGAAGCAATTCAACGAATCTGTTGCCTTGCAATTTGGCAAATCGGCTATGAAAGTCGGCATAGTTTATTTTTGAGGTCAAAAACAAGTTTATAAACAGGTAGCCTCTCCAAATATATGCCCGACAATCGACTTATGTAAAAAGCTTAAAAGAATGTCCGAGAAAATCAAGCTGTGCAATGTTGAGCGTAAACATATCACCCTGCCAAGTTGAAAAACTGCATCTTCGTACGGAGACTTCGGGAACGTGACTGTTAAAACACGACAGTAAAGTAATAAAAGCAATCCACTTCGTTCACTTGCGACTGTTGATGCACAAATTGCATTTCCTATCTTATTCAAGCCCCCTAACGTTACACTTATTGGTTAGCTATTAGCAGGTACTTTGGGCACATCCATGCGCATGTTATGGGATAATCTAGTATATTTGCTTACATTTCATGCACTTTCGCATATGAACAGTTGTAACTGCCTTTTATACCGAACTTCGGTTACAAATGTCAAATAAACGAAAATCGCTGGCTTGTACATTATGCACGTTATGAAAAAATTGGTATGGTATTGTTTGCGACAAACCTTATCAATTCCAAAGGTGAATAGAAAAGTTGGTTGAGAGTTAAGGTGCTCACATAAAATAGTCAGTACAGTTTATGCATCAACAACGTCAAGTGAACAGAGTGGACTGCTTTTATTTTTTCAATGTCAAATTTTGACAGTTACATTCCAAAATTCTCTGTGTGGGGATTAGAAATTCTATTTAAACTTGTCAGACCCAAATTCTAAAACCGCGGAAAATTAAAAATCAAAGCGTAATCAGGTAACATCCTCGGTACTATATTAAAGTAATATTCAGTGCGATATCACCAATAATGCCGATGTGCTTCCACTTAATTGTATCACTCATGTTGATAATGTGTCTTGCATATATATGCGACTTCATTTTTAATGTTATTTTTAATTACACAAATCCATGTAAACCGAAATTGTAGGCTGATAGGCGGTGAGGTTCGTAAGCTTAGTAAAAGAATAGTTTAAAAGTCTGTATGCTTTTAGGTAGTAACGTACGTGATTAGTTAGAAATATCCTCGTGTCGCAGCTTGGTAGGAAAGGGATAATAAAGGAAAGTGCGTTGCCAAATGTATTGACACATTCCTAATGACTTAAAGAGTCGAGCTGCACAACAAGATGTTGGTGTACTTGACTCACAAGGGTGCTTCACCGATGGACACAACACTCTTTCTGATCAACAAGGGTATCACCTGCGGCACTGGTAAAATGGATTTGAATGCGGGCGGCGCGATGGCGGGTATGCACCTGGACAAGAGCGGGGCCGCAGCAGTGGCAGGTTTTTTCAGGATCTTCAGTCTACTCAAACCGCAGGGTCTATCGGTACATGGTGCAATGGCCCTTGTGAGCAATAGCATCGGCTCCGATAGTCACGTAACTGACGAGATCGTCAATTCTCGTGCCGGTCTGCACGTCCGTGTGGGCAACACCGACACTGAAGAGTGTATGGTTATGATCGACCTGCTCTGTGAGGCAAAAGAACAGGTTATTCAAATGTTTACACCCATTATCCATTAGCAAATTATCATCTGTTTTCATTTTACCATTAGTTCTCTTGAGTTGCCTAATACGCATAAAAACATCGATTCTAAGTTTTTAATCTTTCCTTCATTATGTGCTACGCTGACTAGCTAAATAGTTCGCGCATATAGTTGCTGCACCGTAAAATGCGCAATTCATTACATTCTGGTTTATTGTAAACATAAGCAGTAGAAATTGTATTTCTTTCTTAGGCCATCATGGACAACGGTCCCGCACGCATGCAGTGTCGCAAGCGACCTAGAGAGACCAAGTGATCAAGCATCTAACATGGCATAATATCCTAGTTTTATTAACGGCTTAAAGAACTCTGAAAGGACTACGTCTGGATATTTTATAAATGAAGATGTCAACGATTCTTAAAGATGACTATGAAGCAGTTAAGGGTTATAGTGAGTATGAGGATCTTCTTCAATGCAGCAATCGCCCGAGTAGTGCAACCCCTTGTGGGCATCAGTTTCCCGCCACCTTCAAGATTGCTGCAAGCGATTTGGATGAGGTCAATTCCTCTTCTGCTTTTACAGGCAAGGATAAGTCCTACTAAATTGTATTCAAGCAGGCAGGTGTCTTTCCTATAAACGAGCACTAGTGTGGGGAAATCGTTGTTCACTATATACACTGACTTTGATGCCTAGTTATTTTCTTGTGTTTCCTAATTAATTAAACTGTCTTTCAGTTGTGTAGCACGGTCTGGGTTTTAAGAAGAAACATCTGCCCTATTCACATTTCAACATCGCCGGCATCGCTAGTGACATTGACGTTCTTCAGATAGGAGCCCCACCACAAATGTTTACCAGTACGTATGTCCTCCACTGCCTCAGAGGTCGACGACCTCTTTACCCAGTGCATTATTCGGCAGCTCTCAAGTCTCAGATGTTTTTTAGGCGATGGTTAAATAAATTTGCTGTTTATAGGCTAACGGAAATAAATCTCATCTTTTATTAATACTGCAGTCGAAGCGCTTGCTGTAGACTGCATTAAACGGCGGTTAAAGCGTGAATTTTGACATCAATTACGGTGACTAGAGCACACGTGGTCCAACAGTTCCACTTACGCAAGTCTATTTTATTCCATTTGACCTGAATTTGCTATCGTTAAGAGATGAAGGTGGCTACCGCATCGATTCGAGAAAAAAGAGTCTTTATGTGAAGCAGTGCATGGCGGCGAATCATTAATCAAAAAATCTCGCACAGTTTGGGTACAGTCGGTTCGTAGGGTGTGGCAAGTATCACCTAAAGAGTGTGTTAAATCAAAGTAATAGCATTGTCAAGCCGGTGGTTCCAAAATCACCTTATCTTTAACGCGATTTGTCACCAGCCAAATGCAACATTGCAGCAGCTGACCTCCAGGGGTACAGAGCAATGGGATCTGGGAGCTCTCAGAGTATTCTGCGTTCAAATCGGTGAATAAATCAGCCAAAGGCGTAACATAAACCAATTTGCATAATTTTTTAAAAAATTTCTGCCTCATGGCTGCTAAATATCGCGGAGATAGGAGGGCTTATGGTGAAGCAATTGCTCCACCAAATTTTAAGAAGGAAAAGCAAGAACGGATTCCCAGCCGGTGATAAGGGCAACTTTGAGCTAATAAATGGGATGATTTTAATGCAAAATTAAAAGAAACGCCAACATGCGACGCTGCATTAAAAGTTACAAACCTCGAAAAATATTCGTTTTATAGATTTTGCACTGACTGGTCTGCCCTGAGAATGTAATACAGCTAAATGTAGGGTGAACTTGTCTACTCTTGGGTGTGTAGTTGGTTGTCTGATTGCGTGCATTTACCTATGCTTTTAAGTGCTTTTTTTGACAGCAAATGTAATAACATTTCAAAAATGGCCACCGCTAATTTTGTTGACACATAAAGCTAAAATTCTCCTAATGTTATAGTTACCCCACATCATTTGTAGTTTGGTAGATTCCCGAGCCACCCTTTAAATGAATAGGTAACGGGTGAAAAACAACACTAATTAAATCTACCTCTTGGTTTATGCTATTGCCACAGATACAGCACTTTTCTTATCTTAAATAAAAGTAAATTGGAAGTTTTATTAATCGATATAACTTATTATACTGATCCTGACCCTAGGGGTGAATGTCTAATCCGAGGATCAGGA